CCTTATACACCCGTTATAGACCGGGTTCGTAAATGAGAACTACTAACCGTAAGACTAGCTTAATCTTGTATGTATGTATATATATATATATATATATATATATATATATTATTAATCTTATAATACTATAATAGTATAAGGGTTGAATTTTAAACTTGTAAAATTCTAGGGTTTAGAATTTAAATATTTTCAAAATTAAACTTTTAATAAAAAAATTTTAAATTCCAAAACTTGAGGGTAAGTTTTGAAACTTTTCAAAAACATCTATTAGATCAAATTTGAAAAATTATTATTTAATCATATTATTAATATTTATCACATAATTTGACCTAATCTATTTTCTTTCAAGATAATTCAAATAGAAAATACAAATAATTAAATATATCTTATAAAACAAGTAACTATCTTATTTATGACAATTATCCTTCAATTGAATTAGGATAATCAATACCATATTGGAAAAATCGAGTTTTTTCAGTCAAAATCGTTTTTGGTAATTATCCAAATTCAATTTTAGTCAAAATCCTGAAAAATTAGCCACCAGACGAGCCGACTGGCCGAGTCATAGACAGGACTCGTCGAGTTGCCCTGACTCGCCGAGTTCATCTGGTGACTCGACGAGTCCATCAGTCAGAGGCTGGAATTTTCGACTTTTGAGCTTAAAAAAATTATCTATGCATCAAATACAATAGAGAAATGATCGAGGCTCTGATACCACTGATGGGTTATGAGCAAAACAACATTCCTATGGTGTTCATGCAAACCCTAAAGCTTGGGTCTAGTTTTTTCTATTTGACATGCAACAATTGTTCAAGACTTGCAAACCCTAATCTAGCATACAACAAAACTTGAAATCAACATAAATAAACTAGTAAGAATGTTACCTTGATTGTTGCTTGAAGATCTTGAGCTTTTGAGAATCTTAGCACCTCAAATATTGTGCCTCTAATAGACCACAAACACCAAAGCAATTGGAGAATGCAAGAGAGAGGGGAGGTGAATTTCAGCTCTATGAACTCTTCTTAGGGTTGTGGTAGCCGAAAAATGTAAGCCAAGAGGTTGCTTATATAGGTGAGCTACTAGGGTTTCAGTCAAAACCCTAATTGGATTGCTTAGGCCTTAAGCAGTCTAAAGATCCTTCCAGAAACAAGGCCTTAGACGAATTCAATGTGGGCTACCCTCTTGATTTCGTCCACCCACTTCTAAGGGATCCACAACCTAAAAATCAATTATTTTATAATTGCAATTCCAGTCCCCTATGTTTAATTAATATCTTTTGATCATAAAATTAATTTTTAATTAATTCTTTGACCAATATTAATTAACTAATATGATTTCTCTTTTAATATATTATTCATATAATATATTAATAAACTATAAAACTTCTTTCTCTATTATTCATCCAGTCAAGTTGTTCCGGTGAAGGTAACCAAAAAGAACCATGTTATAACCGGATCAAGTACATATCAAATATAGTTATGGACTTAGACACTAATCCAACAGTTTTCCTATAAACTAATATTAATCTCAAAATATATGATAAAAAATTTGTCAAAGATATCAATCATCTATTTTTAATGTAGTAAAAAATAATATTAATTTTGATTATGTAAAAATTACACGAATGGTCCCTATGGTTTAGGGTAATTTGCACGTTTGGTCCCTAACTTATTTTCTTAACTCGGAAGGTCCCTACTGTTTGTTTTTGTTACGCGCTTGGTCCCTGTCTTACATAAAAAGTCTATTTTTCCCTTTATTTTTTAATTTATTTAAATAAACACACCCCTAATCTCACCCTTCTCAGCTTACCTTACGTACCGCATTATTTTTTCCTATTTAAATAATAGTCTTTTTAGGTATGACAGAGACCAAGCGCGTAACAAAAACAAACAATAGGGACCAGACACGTAATAAAAACAATCAGTAGGGACCTTCCGAGTTAAAAAAATAAGTTAGGGATCAAACGCGCAAATTACCCCAAACCATAGGGACCATTCATGTAATTTAAAGAGAAATGTGATGCTCATTTACTATGAACAGTTTGTGATCGACCTTGTTCTAAGCTATGCACTTCTTCCGAACCATCTAACCCACTCCAATCGAGATAAACAATTTCCTTTAACCAATAATTACTTTTTTAAAAAAGTAAACTATACTTTTTTTTAATGTTATTCATGTTTAACAAACAATTTTATATATTTAAGTATATGTAATAAAAAAATAATAGTTATTAAACCTTATCTGTATTAAAAGAAAAAAAGCATGATTGTAAATGAATTTAGTTATAAACTATTATTATCATCACCATGGTATCTTTAATAAATATAAACAAACAAAACATAAAAAATAGCATTAAAAATATGTTTGAATAAAACGCTAAAAAAAATTGAAAAAAAAAACATCAAAGAAAATATTACTAAATGTATTCGAATAAAACATCATCATCAAAAAAAAAAAAATTGTTTGAGCTAAACGTCAAAATATACAAACACGAAAAAATATAAATAAACATTAAACAATATATTTGAACAAAACAGGTAAAAAAAAATCTAAAATCTAAAAAATATAAATAATTAAATAAAAAAGTAATAAATAATAAACAAAATTACATAAATGATTTCTGTGATTGGAACAAATTACATAAAGTGTCTCTATGGCAAGAAGGGTAAATGCGTGTCATTTTAGATTGGATTTAATTGAAAAAACTTAATACGGTTTGCCAAAAGACCATCTTTGTAAGGTGTTGTTTGTTTTTTGGAAAAAACCTCTTCAAACCTCTTATTGCTGCGCGACGTAGTATACGCGCAATACTTTTCATCTCGCAGTTGTTTTGTTTTTTAGAAGTCTCATGAGTTAAAAACCTCTGCGCGTGCTCTGTTTGGCGCAACACTTGTACTACCTCTTTCAACCTCTTCCAGCCTCTTCTTCTTCTTTTTTTATTGCTGAAATTTTGATTATATGTTGTTAAAATTTTAGTTCACATTTTTTTTTTCGTTTTTTTTATTCTTGTTGAATTTATTTTTCGTTTTTTTATATTCAATAATGATAATTTTTGTTGAAATATCATAATTTTTTTACTGAATTATCATTAATTTTTACCGAGATGTTATACATTATTAAATTTTACGTATTAAAAAGCTATTTTTGGTTTATAAAATTAGTTTATTTTAATTTTTTAATATCTGCAGCAATATGCAGATGTTAAAAAAAAAAACACGCTTCTTATTACAGTCTGCAGCCGTTTGGTCCACATCTTCTACTGCAGAGGGTTGCAGAGGTGGTCCGCAGACTTCATAAATTTTTGCTTCAGAAAATCAAATAGACCTAAGACTTTAAGAGCACAAGGATCATCCATGCAAATTCATTGGTTATAAGAACTAGAGTTAGTTGATTTCGTCAAATAAAAGGACTATTTATGCAAACTTGTTGAAAATTTAAGGGTATTATAATTAGTTTCTTATTATTTTCACTCGCTCGTTAATCGATCGGAATAACTGAGAGAAAAGAGTCAAGATACTTAAATCGACCCAAGTCGAAAGAAGAAATTAAGGAAGATATCCTATGGAAATCAAATTATAAGGCTTGCAAAGTAAAAGATTAAACGGTGTCTGCTAAAGTTTGGTGTTGCTGGGAATTTGAGGTACGTTCCTGAAACTGACAAATTGATGAATTATAAGTTACCAATAAACAAATGGAAGTGTTAATTATATAAAATGGAAGTGTTAATTATGTTTTATATAAGTTATTTAGTAAATTTTCTCAAAGAGTTAAAAAAAAATGTCAACCCGGAATGTGAGAAACGTATTTTGACCTAATTTAGTCAAAGTTGTGAAGTTTATGAATTTGTGTAGTTAGATGATCAAATTAAGAAATTTGTAAAGTTAATATGCTGTCGTGTATGTTATAAACGAATGGAATTTGTAGGAAAATGACTAATGATGTGTGTATGTGTTGTGGACACAAAGAGAAAATGGAAATAGGGGGATTTATCCGTTGTGCATTGCCGTGTATTTGTTGACACTATTTAAATTCGTGTCTTGCTACGTTTAAGTATCAAATACTAGGGAAATTCATTATTAATTTATTAGTTCATAACATTATAATTAGATCAAAGATACTAGTCAGTTAATGATTACCCATTGATTTACTGATTACCGATTGAGGTGTTTCAGATCGAATCTGGTTAGTGATGAAAATACTCGTTTAATTACAACAGATAGATGTTGACATCACGTTATAAATATATGGACAACATGTTAGCAATGATGTTTAAAATTATTGGAGGATCAGGATGTTAAAGATGAAAGTGTGAGTGGGACTGATTAGAGGAAATTCAGAATTTTTAGTAACCAAGGTGTAAATAGACATGTCCTGATGGGAATTGTTTCTTGATTTTTCATTGAGAAACACTTGGAGTCGGGTTTATAGATAGAGTCTGTCTTTTAAACTACGAAATTAAATACAATAATTTTGATTGAATTAATTATTGAGTGTACCCCATGCATAAAATAGGAGAGGCTGTTCATTATTTTCACTCCGTGGTTAGCCAATCTAGAGAATTAAGAGAGAATAGTCAAGAGGTGGAGGAATTGAGGAAAGTGAAGAGTTTAGAAAGGGAGTCTGGTAAATTTTGTTTTCTATTGGGAATTCCTGCACGTCTTATAAGAAAAATACTAATGTAGAATTAAGAATAAAACATTAGTTTGTATAATGTGATTCTGTAAAAACTGACTCACGTACCTAAATTAGTTCTTGCCTATCTTTAGAATTGAACTTTTATTAGACTTCAAAGGGGTTTTTAAGACCAAAAATTGAAAACGAAAATGTAAGGACTAGTTATGCGATTTTCTACATTGTAACATATTACTTTAATTATGATTTCTGACAAGATTTTTCTACATGATAACAGGTTTTATTGGAAAGTTGAATCTCTCGGTATAAAGTTCATTTATTGAGGTGCTCAGACCACATACATTCTATCTCAACAAATCAAAACATCCATGGCATCTTCATCATCTTCTCCTTCTGCTCCGGCCTTTTCTTCTCAATTGTGGAAGTACCATGTTTTTCTTAGCTTTAGAGGAGAAGATACTCGCAAGAATTTTGTGGATCATCTCTACTCAGCTCTTGAACAACAAGGGATCTACACTTACAAGGATGACGAAACACTTCCCCGGGGTGAATCGATAGGTCCATCCCTTGTGAAGGCTATAGAAGAATCTCAAATTGCTGTCATCATATTCTCTGAAAACTATGCAGATTCATCATGGTGCTTAGATGAACTTTTATGTATTATGAATTGCAAAGATAAGAAAGGTCAAGTCGTTATGCCCATATTTTATGACGTGGATCCCTCTGATGTGCGAAAACAAAAACGAAAATATGGAGAAGCATTTTCAAAACATGAGTTGGAGAACAATAACAAAGTTAAATCTTGGACACAAACATTTGTGGATAACCCTTGGGGATGGCTCTTTGCACCACGAGAACAAAAACAGAAACACAGAGAATCATGTTCCAAACAGGAGTTGGAGAACAAGAAGAAAGTTGAATCTTGGAGAAAAGCACTTGTGGATGCAAGTAACATTTCTGGATGGGAACCCAAACACATTGCTAATGGGTATCTTTCTTCTTTATCTTTGCACTTTTTATGCTTAAAGTATGTGTGCTCCACATGCTGCTTATGCGTGTACCTTATAAGTTTTTTATACAACTTTTCTGATTATTCTTGTTGGTGTTGATAACCGTGAAAAAGGATTAACTGGATCAATTAGCTTAAGTTATGATGGACTTCATTGAGTTTTAATTCTAATTCTGTACTTAACATTGCGCTTCATACTACAACAACAATCTTGGATCACTTTTTTCTATTTAAAATTATTTGATGTTTCCCAAGAAAATTGTTACAGACTACTTGTGATATTAACTTTATATTTTTATGTTGTGACTTATGAAAATGTGAACATGTTTTAATTATCCTGGCATATCCAATGTATAGGCATGAAGCGAAGGTTATCAACGAAATTGTTGACACAATTTCACAGAGGTTGCAGCTAGTAACTTCAAGTGCAAATGAGAACCTGATCGGACTAGCAATTCGCATGCAACATTTTAAATCAGATTTACAAATTGGATCGGGAGGTGTGCGTATGATTGGAATATGGGGGGTTGGGGGTGGTGGTAAGACTACACTTGCATCTTCTATTTATGATGAAATTTCTAGCAAGTTTGATGGTTGCTGTTTTGTAAAAAATATCCGGGATGAATCAAGCAAGAATGGTTTGGAAAAACTGCAAGAAATAATCCTTTCTAGTGTATTGAAGAAAAAACAAGTGAATGTAATATGGAGAGTTGAGGAGGGAAGACAGGTGATAATGGATAGGTTATGCCATAGAAAGGTGTTGATTGTTCTTGATGATGTCGATCAGCTTGACCAACTAAAAGCATTAGCTGGATCACATAATTGGTTCGGTGAAGGAAGCCGAATAATAATCACAACTAGAGATGAACATTTATTAAATGCACACAAAGTAAATGTGATGCACAATATTAGTTTATTAAACGATGATGAAGCTATTAAGCTCTTGCGCAAACATGCATGCCTGGACTACAGACCCATGGAAGGTATTGAAGATTATGAGCAGCTTTCAAAAGAGGTGGTGTCTTATGCTGGTGGGCTTCCATTAGCACTTACAGTTCTTGGTTCTTTTCTGTGTGACAAAAACATTAATGAGTGGAGGAGTGCATTAGCCAGACTGAAAGAGATCCCAAATGATAATATCATTGAAACACTAAAAATCAGCTTTGATGGACTTACAAGGGCTGACAAACACTTGTTCCTAGACATCGCATGCTTTTTTAGGTCGGTGAAGAAAGATACAGCAATGGAGATGCTCAATGCTTGTGGTTTTCATTCTGTTATAGGAGTGAAGGTGTTGATACAAAAAGCTCTCATAACTATTTCAGAAGATGGAGAGTTTGATATGCATGATCTGGTGCAAGAAATGGGACACCACATTGTTAGAGGGAAACACCCTAAGAATCCTGAAAAACATAGCAGACTTTGGAGGAAGGAAGATCTTCTAAAAATATGTGCTATGGATGCAACAATGGTAATGGGTTAAGCTACATTTCCAACATGTATATAACAAAACACTCTGACTGAAGCCCTGACACCATTTTGTTTCTCTTATCACAGGAACTTGACAAGGTTGAAGCAATAAAAGTTGAGAGTGATAGATTGCTAGAAGGACAAGTTCTTCCTCCAATTTCTGCTAACATGAAGAACCTTCGGTATTTGTTCTGGATAGGTGATCCTGCAAATCCATTGCTTAATAACTTCCCACCAAGGGAGCTTTGTTGTCTAATATTGGTTGGTGGCTTGCAAAAACAACTTTGGGAGGGCTGTAAGGTAATTTGTATTGTTTATCTAATTTACATATGAAAACAAAGCCGATGCTAAATTATAGACATGAGTAATTCAGAGTAAATTTTAAGTATTCATGGTGTTAATAGTATGAACCTTTACTCTATAAATGTCCTTTGGGTTAATAAGGATTAAAATTTATAAATTATAGACAAAACTGCAAAAATGGTCCCTGTGGTTTGCACTTCATTTGGATAAGGTCCAAAAATCTTTCGACTTGCAAAAATGGTCCTTATTCGAGGGTTTTGTTGTGGATTTGATCCCTAAAATAAAATAAACGGATGTTAAAGTTAGGGACCAAATCCACAACAAAACCTTCGCATACAGAAAAATTTTGCAACTCAAAAGATTTTTGGACCTTACCCAAAGAAAAGTGCAAACCATAGGGATCATTTTTGAGGTTTTGTCTAAAAATACAACTTGTTTGATATGATATTGACAGATTAGTCATTGTAATCCATAGTGGTTATGTATTGCGCATCCTCCATCCAAATATTCTTTTGTTCCAACATAAATACAAGTTTCCTTTTGTTTTCTTTAAAATAAATTAAATACTATATTATTGTTTGGGCGAGATTTTGATCTATTTTTTTGTACTAATAATCATTATAAAATATTGATATCATCGATCTGTGTTCTTTTATTATTTTGTTTTTATCAAGTCATGCTTTTAGATATTTAAACAAGTAAACAAACACTTCAAATGATTTCCATGTATGGATGAAAGGGATTAGTTTTTTGTTTAATGATCTTCTCATATTGAAATAGCATATCACTGAGATGTCTGTCTGCATTTGTGTCTGTTTCTTCCTTAATTGATACATTTTTGACTGGTTTTCACTTGTATACATGAACAGTATCTACCAGCTTTGAGAATCATAGAACTTTATTGTTTGGACCACTTAATCATAACACCAGATTTTGATGGACTGCCAAATCTTGAAAAATTGACGCTTGAAAGCTGCATGCATTTAGAAGAGATTAATCCATCAATTGGGCACTTGGAAAGCCTTGTTTTACTATCTATTGAACGTTGTGAAAGTTTTAAGATATTTCCACCCATCACCCGGCTAAAGAATCTCAAGACCCTTATTTTCACACAGTGCTACAAACTTTTTAAACCCTCAGAGATCCAACAACAAAACATGGAAAATTTACCACATTTTCATTTGGATAAAGAATTCTGTTTAGAGGAGCCTTGTTTACCTCCCAACAACATCAACCACCACATAGGGTCTCTGCTTTTTCACAACCTGCAAAAAGTCGGCTTCTTAAGAAAGTTGGATCTCAGCCAGTGCAATTTGGAAGATGAAGACATAGGTTCTACTGTTTGTGAGTTACCCAACTTGCAAGAACTCAATCTTTCACGAAACAAGTTTTCGCGATTAAGTTTTAGTCGCTTCCGGCTTCCTCGGCTCAAATGGCTCAATGTGAGAAACTGCTATGACCTTGTAGAATTGACAGAGCTTCCATCAAGTATAGCTGCTGTTATGGCAGATTATTGCGACTCACTTGAAACCTTGGGTGATATTTCAAACTGTAAATGGTTGTGGAAAGTCTCACTTTGGATAGGGACCAAACTTTGTGGTGACATATTACTAGGCTCCATGCTCCAGGTTTGGCTCTACATACCTTGGCAATTTCAATCTTATTAATATGAATATTGAATGTGTTTTACATGGCAGGGAAATGCTATTAAAGATCACTTTATCAGTGTCCATCTTCCGCATAAGATTTCAAAGGCGTTTGTAAGTAGACTCTTGGGGTGTAACACATGTGCAGTGCATCTTCTACATGATAGGGGGAGCACATTTACGCTGTGTCTTCCACATGATTGGTACAATGATTTTTGTGGGTTCTTAATGTGTGTTGTTACCCGCTATGGACTTAAGAAGATTAATATAATCATCAAACCAGAGCGAGATGATCAAGATCCTCCATTTGAGGTCTCGCAGGAATCTAACGGAGGAGCACTGGAGCATGACACATCATTCATAGGATATGTTTCCTTTAGTTCATTAAAGCGAACTACTTTGCTGAATCCATCGTACAATATCCTTTCATTTTCCACAACCACCAAGTATTTGAGTTCATTTACAGCTAAGCTCATTCCTAGGAAAAGTAAACTTGACTCGATGGAAACAACAAAAATCGCAATAGATTGCTCTGAATTTTGGGATGAGGAAGAAGATCATAGTCCGACATTTACCATTAAACAAGATTCAGAGTCTTGTATCAGTATCTTATGGCGACCTTAGGACAACATCTAACAAACCCATACTCATATCTCTCATTATTTTCCGGTTCGTAGTTCGTGTTCTGAATGTTTTCTTTTGCATTTTTATTGTTAAATGATTAGTTGTATTACTTACCATTATCAATCTCGTTAAAGTCTATATCAATGTCCATATTCGAAAGAATTGAATTCCATTATGTATACTTATGTTAAAAAGACAAACTTATCCATGCAAAATCCTTTTATATTGAAGCACAATCACATCATCTGCTTGTTGTGTTATACACAGAAGATCAAAGGTCTCCTCAATTGTCTTTTGTTGCCTTGATGTTGGTTGTTCACTGCCTTGTCATTTGCTCTGCGCCCTGTTGCCTCTGTTGTATCATTCGTATGTGGGTTGTTCTCTTTTGTTGGCATGTAACATCTCTCATCCTTGAAATTTCAAACCAATCCACAAAATCACAAACTTGTTTAATAGTCTAATCAAAGGTGAACACAAGCACCCATGTTGTGGGTTCAAAGAAATCACAAATAGAGATCAAATAATCCAAAATTTACTCTCTACATCTCAAATCAATTGTCATGAATATAGACAACAACAAGGGTCAAGACTCACCAAAAAAAGCGTCTTTAACCTTCATAAATTAGAATCTTTACTGGTTGTTCAACATCACATCAAGATTGCAAAAATCAAACTCTTTCAAAAATCCGACTCATTGGCCTTTTGATTGTGTGATACGGCATGCGCCAGTAATAAAGTGGAGTAGGGAACAAGCTTAATTTGTTTATGGTAGTTAGGATAAAGTCGTTATCTAGAAGATTGAGTTGTTTTGGGTTTGTTTTTCTAGCAAGACAATATAATATAGTACTTCATTCCTTGTTTAGGATTATGCTTGCAATAAACAAGTTGTACACGACTTTTTGGAGATTTCATGTTCTCGAATTCAGGTAACAATCTTATTAATTGGTATCATAGCAACAAGTTCTGGTATCAAGATGACAAAGTCTAACACAAAAGAAAGCGTTGATTCAGAGGCAGATGTCGCCAAGAGACGTGAGGAGGCCGAACTCCTCAGTAAGGAGAACGCACAACAATTTGGGGAGATCTTGCAGACCATCTCCGGCTGGAAGCGAACAAAGATGATGACCTAGATATCGAATTTGGGTACTTCAAACGGAATTGGAACACCTATTTTTGAGATTAGAATTTTGGGTTAAATAGGAAATAAATTACTAAATAAAACAAATAAAAGTTGAAGTTAAATGATGATATAGAAATTATAATGATGGTTGATATTAAATTTGATTAAACAAAAAACATTATTGGACAATTTGGTGAAAAATAACTAGAAGTGTCATATACGTGGAAGTTGGACTGTAAATAGTAAGTTGACCAAGTTGAGAGAGCGACCACTTTTGTTATAAGCCATGGCGGGGAAGGACTAAGAATAACATGGGAGTTGCAAATATGGGAGTTGGGTTTATTATAGAAAAACATGCATTCTTAAGGGTAAAAATCAAAACTTAAGAATAACATGCATCCCTCCCACTCATTTCTTCATATCATAATTTTGAGCAATTGGGAGCTCTCCCCATGGCGACTTTCTAGAATCAAGTATTTCTTCTTCAAATTCTTGCTTAAGGAGCAATATCTCAACATGAGATGAGACGCAGATGAAGAAATGACGAATTTGGGTTCCAAAAGGGACCCTTAGGGTTGGAGTTTGAAGTTCAAGTGAAAGATTGAAGTCATTGGGATCATTTGAGGTATAATTTTTTTTTTCCTTGTAAGCTCTATGCTTGAGTTAGGATTTTGAGTGAGAAATTCAAGTCAAATTTATTAAATTTTGATGCTTGGGGTTTTGTTCTATAACCCTCCTTAAGTGGTTTCTATGGTTCTAAGCAGTAACGGAGCTTGGAGATTTATTTTAGGGGGGAAGAAAGTATAATATACATGAAAATCGAAAAGGGGGGGGGGGGGGGCACAACATAAATTTTATATTTTTAGGCTAAATATGTATATAAACTAAAGTGGAAGGCTATTTCTAACAAAAAATTCAGGGGGCCACAACCCCCCCCCCCCCCCCCCCCCCCCCTCCCTAAGCAAGCTTCGTCCATGGTTCTAAGATCAATCATATCGTTCACTTGACGGATTTGAAGTTTGATTAAAAATCTAGCTATGAACGGTAGATTTTAAATTGGGGGTTTATGAGTGTTAATCTGTTATGTGAATGATTCTATTATCATAAATGCGGGTTTATTGCTATAAATACATATTGGATACACAAACTCACTTGAATGAGATGTGTAAATGAGATTCTAATTCATGAATCGATAAATTGGGAATGATTTGGTTCCAAAAGATGAAGGATTGCTTGATCCCTAGGTGATCCTAGGGATTGTTCAGCTATAAGGGCAACACTTGGACTATGGAGTAAAATAGCACTTCTATAGTTAGGTTTTTAGTTTACAAAAATATAGTTCATTAATATGTATGGGCATTTTGAGCTCTTAACTCCATAAGTAATGTTTAATGAGCAATAAAACTATGGTATTATTGTGATGACTTAATGGATCCAGTTAAGTGTTTTATAATGTTTCAATGCCTTAATATGTTTGGGAATCCATAGTAGTTTTACAAAAGATTACTATAAGAAACCACAAGTTAATATGAAAAGTAGATGCCCAAATGGAAATGAAAACTAAAAATAGTAAACTGTTGTACATAACGCGACGCCTTCCTAAGTGAACCCAACACGTAATGTAGAACGCAATGCGTACACTTGGTTAGTAAAAACCTACTCATGCCGTTTCATACTTTATTAATTCTCGGAGTTTTGCTTATCCATTTGGTCTTATTTCACTTCTATTAGTCTTAATTAGGTTAAAAATTAACAATTTGAGAGTTTGTAAGTTTTATGACCCTATGGATATTTTGGACATTTTTAGTAACCTATTCTCTAACTTATAGGAAATGATTGAAGAAGGTTTCTCTATGGAAAAGGATTACTAGAAGTGACCATAAGTTGAGATGAGTTATTGGGAACACATATCCCCTATCGTACAATGTCTTTTGAAATGTTTTTGTAACATCCAGAACCCCGATGTACTTAATTTCTTGATTTATGGCCTTTTGGAGGAGGCTCATGACGTGAGTTTTGGTGGTCACATCGTGAGTGGTCATTGACCCGTTGATCCACATTTTTGGAGTCTCACGACGTGAAGCATAAGGTCTTACGACGTGAATGCGACTTAATTACCCAAAACCCTAATTTTGAGTATTAATGGAATGAGAGGCTATGGTTGCCCATCCTCAGCCTCTCTTATCCTCTAAGCCATCTGGAAACCCTAATTTCGACCCTTTTTGAGATCCTTGGTGTTTTGCTTGTTTGAAGGATAAGAAAGGGAGAAAAGAATCCTCATTGTGGAGGAAGTTGTAAGGAGACATCATTTCCATCATCTCTTCTCTTGTTTGGACCCTTGTAAGTATCAAGACTCAAGCTTTATTTCATTTCATGGCTAGATATAGGTTTTTGCTCCCAGTTCCTTAAGTTATAGCTTTTTAGAGTGAAGAAGATCCATAAAATTAGAAACTTTATGGATTCAAATGGTCTTTTGAGTATCATATCATCCAGATCTGGAAGCTGGTGGAGTATTAGAAGCATGCATGAGAACATGAGGCCCTATTTCTACTTTTGACCATAAATGGTGGGGGAGGACATGCATGGTGCGTGCATGTCCATAAAGCAAGCATTTTTATGGACCATTAGGGTGATGGGTTTTGAGCATTCTAACACTCCTATGGTGTAAATGCAACCCTAGAAACCTTGGATCTATGTTTGACTAAGATACATGCAAATAATTATTTTTCTAAGGTTCTTATCCTATCTAGCATGGCATGGGGAACTTGAATCAAATAAAGCTAGTAAAATTACTTACCTTGTAGTTGTAGTTGATTGCTTGGAGTTTTAGAGCCTAGCACCAATAGTGTGGATGCCTCAAATGGAAATCACAAATCACCACAAACTTGAAACTTTGAGAGAATAGTAATCACCTTTCTTAAAATCGGCCCTGTTGCTTTACTCACACAACTAGTGTGATTTCAAGAACCAAAGCCTCCTTTATATAGTGTGGTGGATTAGGGTTACATCCATGTAAACCCTAATACCCATGTCTTTTCATTTCCATGAGATCCATGGGTTAAAGCTCCATGGAGTATCCATGGACTTTCCAAGCAAGCCTAGCCCATTCCAAATAAGCATTAGCCACACTGTATAAATATAAGAGCCCATATTTAATTAGTAATACTTTTGATCTCTAAATTAATTCTAGATTAATTATAGATCAATACTAATTAAATAATATGATTTTATATTAATATATTAGAACTTATAATATATTAATAAATCATAACTTATACTATTCTCAAAAGATTATCCATAAATTGTTCGGGTGAAGTGCAACCCAAATGGACCATGTCGGGTCGGGTCAAGTACATACCAAATATAGTTATGGACTTAGACACTATATCCAATAGTCTCCCACTTGGATAAGTCTAATAACTATAGTTGCAAGTATGACTTCAGGAACCGATCAACAATCGTAGCTCTTTAAACTCTGTTGAACTATGAAATGCCATTTTAGATAAGTGATCATATAATCCTCTGTTCTAGATATCAGTCGGACAAATACATGGAACACGGTCTTGCTTATTGTCCAACATTTGTTTCCCGATTTCCGATTTGTTTGACATAGAACTTAACTGAACACATCAATTTAGTTCTGACCGGGCCCGATACATAGGTCAAAACAAGATCATCGAGGGGTCCATATATCGCTTCTAATCCTAGAAGGAACAGATAAACTTCGACTCATATGTTTGCTCTACCACTTGTTGAATTACATACAAAAGCACGTTTATAACATCGAGTTACCAATGCATTTTGGTGCAATCAATGCATAACCAACTCATAGGCAACAAATCATATCTCTATGTTTGAAGACTTATATGATATTACTGTTTCACGATCACTCGAGATAAATTCCATGAAGTGATACAAGTGAGTGTGGGTTGAATCCAATACTCAGAACTTATGAGCACTCATGAGTGTTGTAGCCCCGCTTTGTCTAACATCTTAGACCTCTACAAGCCAACCCATGAAAGTCTTGATTCATATCTACTTCCAACATAATTATTCTGGAAGTCAAAACATGCAAAAAGAAATAATAGTAAACGATTGACAAGTGATAGCAACACTTTACTCATAAATAACAACTTTTATTTATCATCAAATGTCAATTACATTTTACAAATTTCAAGATTATCTAACTACTAAAACTAATATCATCCCTCAGCCCTATGCTTTGAGCATGCTGGAGATGCTTAGCCCGAGTCAGTCCCTTCGTGAGGGGATCTACTGGGTTCTCATCCGATGATACCCTCTTTGCCACAAGGATTCCTTCTTCTATTCAATGTCCGATGAAGTGATATTTTCTGTCAATGTGTCTGGATCTCCCATGATCTCTTGGTTCCTTGGCTATGGCAACCGCATTATTGCTGTCATAGAAAATCTCCATCGGCTCCTTTATAGCTGGTACAAATCCAAGGTCTCCCATGAAGTTCTTTAGCCATATAGCCTCCTTTGCTGCCTCGCTTGCTGCTATGTACTCTGATTCACAAGTGGAATCAGCCACTGTGTCCTGCTTGGAACTTTTCCAAGTAATTGCCCCTCTGTTTAGGGTAAAGACCCAACCCAACTGAGAGCGGAAATTATCCCTGTTAGTCTAAAAGCTAGCATCACTATACCCTACAAATCTTAAGTCATCACTCCCACCAAGGGTAAGGACCCAGTCCTTAGTACTTCGCAGGTACTTGAGAATATTCTTACCGCTGTCCAGTGAGCCTTGCCACGATTCGCCTGATATCTCCTGACCATGATCAAAGCAAAGGCAACATCGGGGCGAGTACAAGAAATAGCATACATGATCGAGCTTACAACTGAAGTGTATGGTACTCGACTCATTTCAGCTATCTCAGCCCCTGTACTCAAACTCTGAGTTTTACTCAATCTAGCATTACACTGGATAGGTAACTCACCTTTCTTGGAGTTATGCATGTTGAACCTTTTCAACACTTTGTCCACATAGGTGCT